TAGTTATAAATTCATCAAAACAAACATTCTCATTCTTATTGTTTCGGTTAATGTCAAGGTAATTAGAATTAGAACTAATCAATCCTTGTGGGATGATACTCGAACTCAAAAAGTCCACTTTATTACCTGTTAACGAATCGTACATTTGCGGTGTGTTTTATTCGAAATATATTTTCGTGAACAACGTACTAAACAAAATATCCAAATCTCCATCTCACCCTATTAAGGATATATATAAGAGTTCGAATTACTTCTCTTAACAAAGTTGGCATTTTTAAGATGCAACCCAAACTGAATTGATATCACTGTCTGAAAAACTCAAACCAGCAATCAATTCCTCTAAAGTTCATATGGACAGTCAAATTCCAAAATTAGTGTTCATGTCAAGGATAAAGTTCCACATTAATAAAAATACGAAATAAAATTTAACATATTAGAGCTTCGACTAGTTTTACAACGGAACCTTTTGCCTTAATACACACTTATGTAACATTCTAATCATCTTATCATTAGCTTAATAATGAAGATCATTCTTGCCTACACGATCTCCAAATCCACTTAAGAAACTAACAACGAAAAGCAAATCAAAGCCATTGATAAAAATAAGCACTTCAATATTTATATATTCCATTTTTCAGCAAGTCCACAAGAAAGCTCCCATGGCAAACTTCCTCTTCTGGTTCACATCTCCGGTCACTGGCAGACCATATTCGGCGAGGAGGCAGTCAAGTTTCCACTCCGGCATGGCCTCATATTCGACTCGAGTGTACTTGGGGTAGTGTAATGGCATTTGAAACCCACACCGCTCCCTCGTGAGGTGGCTGTTGGTGGCACCGCCACCTCCAACATTAGTAGATGCCCTTGCAATATACTCCACTTCCCCTCCACTCATTATGTTTGTTACACTCTTTTCCTTCTAAATTGTAACTACTTGTATTCGTTAAGAAATGTTACGACCCTTCGTTCTATTTATAGTCCCACCCCCACCCCCAACCCCACCCCAGCACTGTCGAGGTAGGTGAGCATTTATGTTGAAAACTAACAAAGTTGTTCGATATGATTTATAGTGGTGAAAAATTTTATGTAAGAACTTTAGAATGCCTTGAAAAGTTGTATGTGTGTATGGGGACATAGGAGGAAATTGAAATGCTAAAAGAATACAAATCCAAGAATTAGTCAAAAACTATTTTGCTATCTTTGTTGAAGTTGTTAGGTACAAGGAAAATGGTGTATATTTATATTTGAATCATCGACATCTCCAATTCCCATCATAACACGTGAAATTATCATAATTAAGTGGTGGTGAGAGTTAAAATATCTGTATACTTCGATATCATATTGATACGTATGAGGAGAATGCATTGTGAATGAATATAATATTCACTTGTTTAGATTTACAAATTTGACCTTAACTTCATGCTAACGAGTGCACATCCCCAAATTAACAAAAGATGATGACCAATTTAACCGAATTTCTAACTCCAAAAATGAAATATTACAAGACTAGGAACTAGAGCTCTCGCAAGTTGCTACCTTTAAATGATACGTTTTTTATGTTAGACTAGATATAATTACGGAGAACATTTCTAATGTTTTTTCGAATTTATCCTACTCCGCATACCAAATATACCAAAAAAGACTTTAGTCTTGTTGCATTAACTAATGAATTCCACTCTTTTGAACCAAAAAGAAATGAAATAAAATTGCAGATATATTTGTAACAAAAAATTAAGGTCCCTTTATTAATTTTCAATAAATTTGGGGTCCGTTAGGTTCTACCATCTACATCTACTGAAAATTTTAATATAATTAATTAATATATTCATAACAAATACACAATCACCAACCAAAAAAATCAACAATTGATTTGAAGTTGAAAGGTATTTTACAGTATCAATTTGCTATAAACATTCAATGCAACAATAAATAGGTGTGCTTATCTCATTGCATATATTGTCCACAAATCTATCTATTTAATTATTTAAAAAATACATGGAATGAAAATTATTTTGTTCAGTGCAATCAATGATTCATGTCTGAATGAACCACAAATTTTTTAGGCCCTTCAATACTTTAGCAGAATAACGAGTGATGGAGGATGGTTAGTACTTGGAAAAACATTACAGACCACCATTATTGTCGGCCAAGGTTGCCTAGATCCCAAGGAATTTAGTTTCATTTTTCAATATAAGTTAGCATATTTGGTAAAGAAGATTAGATGATACTGTATAATATTGATAAATTATATTGTCTAATTGTGTACCAAACATGCACTAATGACAATTGAGAAAGAATAGTAGGATTAGATATTTCTATAACATAGGCTTAAGTTCAGTTCTTCCAAACCTCTTCTCAAATTTTCTCATGTGAAATACAACCGCAACTAACGTGTTCGTGTTTTTTAATGGATGATAATAGATTCTGTTACGCATCAAAACCGAGGCTGAAGAAGAAGCCCAAACAAAAGGCCCACCCTCCGCATAATCAAAAATCGAATTGAAGTCATGGGTAAAGATGACGAATCGATACCTTAATTAAAGCGTCATGTGTAATCAGAAGCTCCATGGCCAAAGCGAGGCATCACCTACCACAAAACAACAATAGAAAGGTCATATACCGCTTCATCAAAGCACTGTATAAGTAGCCAAAGCATTATGTAAGTGGCCCTGAAGCCGAAGCGTAGACAAGTGGCTGAAGCTCTGAAACTGAAACACTATATAAGAAGTCAAAGTTCACTGTCTCGAACCTCTTCAAACCGAAGACCTCCAATATGAAGCTCCCTTTGGCTGAAGCCCTTACTATTTTTTTGAAGATCTGTAGGCAATCTTTAAGAATAATTGATATAACGTAATAATGAATGTCATGATTGTCAACTTAGGGTATAGGGTGGTATACCCGTTGTTAATGTATTAAATGAATAGCAGATTGGGTTACGTGAGGCTTCGACCTGGAAGATGAGGTCACGTGGTTCGTATCCAACGGCTACAACTTTGGCCTAGGACTCTATAAATAAGCAACACTCTTGTCAAATTTGAAGCTAATGCAACTCGTGATACGAAAAACCACATTCGATATTCTCTCTTGCTTACTTCATAGTTGGGTACTTGAGTTAAAATTATTCCTATTTTAGTTGAGTTGTATGTGATTGTTTGTTTATATGCAATTATCTTTGATCATATTGTCGATACTTGAACATTTTTGTCTCGTATAATAGAGCATCTCCCACATTTATAAACGTCATCCTTTTCCGTTCAAATCTTCGGTCAAAACGTGTTAAAATCTGTTTGTGTGGACGCAAGTGGATTCGACATTTGTTATCCACGTAACCATTACGGAAAACGGGGTCAATAGATTCATATCTTAATTAGGTTGCTTTATTCCCGAAAATGAAGTGATCCAACCACACCTTATATGTCTACCTTATTACGACTTCACTCCCATCGCTAGCCTATATTCAACATGTATTGCCGTCTCCTACCAACTAGATGTAATCTAGCCATAGGCAGCTAACATCGATATCTTATTATTTTTAGTGCCGCACAAACATTAACAAGAATTCTTTTTCATTCTCAATTGAATCACGATTTTTAACGTCAATTTAATCTGAGATTTTGTTTATATTTTGTTACATCTGATCGAAATTCGACTCGTCTAAAGCTCATACACGATTTTCTTGGGAATTTGAAAGGAGTTGAGATTTGAGGTTCATGTATTATTGAGGGCCAAACGTTACTATCACAATGCTTTGATTGAGAAGGGCTCATTTATGTATGCCCTGCTTACAAGGGCACTTGTGAGTGAATAGTTTTCTATGGAATTAAAGAAGTTGAAAAGGAGGGTGTCAGAATAACAATTAGGATATACAGTTTGCAATATTAAGGGCGTGTTCGGTAGAGATTAAAATTGGATTAAAATTGAAAAACTAACCATTATTGTTGACTTTTATTAGACGAGTGGGACCCAATAACAACCATATTTTCAATTAAAATTGAATTTTAATCCTGAGCAAACATGCTCTAAATTTAGTTATTGAATTCCCAATGAATAAAATAGACACTGAACTAACATGCTACATCATTGACTTTTCACTTCAATTAGTGTTCAAATAAAATTCTATACTAGCTTCTCTTAGAATCCCTTCGAATTTAATTTCGCTATTCCTACATAGTGTGATTGTAAATCTACACATTTCAAGACATCACAAAAGGTTGCCGTTAATTTTCCTACTAAGAGTAGAAATACCAAGAAAATGCTTAATTTTCCTGAAGAGACTCGAGAATCTGTTCTTCGACCAACAGAAAATCTTGATCGAACTATTAGCGCTGCTTTTGCTGTCAATGGCATATCCACAAGCATGCACGGAGAGGTGAAATACATGGGCAGCGGCATCATGCAGTGAATATTTCCAAAAAGAGCTGCTGCATATTAAACGAGAATTGGTAATAATCATGGAACACTTTATTCATCTACAAATGATAACCAATGCATAAGCTGTATCATTTCACAATAACTTGGAGTCTAATTTGCTTAACGCTATTTATCACGAGAACTTGGATAGATATGGGTCCATAAATAGTTGGGAAAGTTAAAACTGTCAGATTTTAGAATACAAGAGGCATTAGGAGCATATTTGGCGAAACTTGACAAGGCTCATTAATGCCTGAGGTAAGGATTATCTAGTTTACAAGGGCACCAGTGGGAGAATTTGTTGTTTCCTAAATTTAAGAATTTTAAAAAGTGGGTTTGACGTGAATCTCGTTGCAAAAGTTCATTTCCAAGAATGATGTTACATGCTCAAAACCTTCTAGCTAATAATCTAAAGCGGGCTGCTATAAGCCTGGCATGGCAGCATTGTTCCGCAGGTCAACATTTTTCAATTTTGTTTTGTTGATTTACTGAAATGAAAAACACAAAAAATTGAAAAATGCTTTCACGAAGCATGGGTTGGAGAATCAGGTCAGCCTTTCCAGACAGGGTGGGCCAAACACGGGGAAACCCCGATTTACTCCTCTGGTCCTACCTCTGTAGACTATTTGGGTTTCTCTTCATAAATGTAATACTTAATACTGTCCACTACTAGTCTACTATCCAATACTCCCAACCATTCATGCCAATATTACATATTTATACGTTTAAGAAATATCTTATTTGCATAATTATCCTTTGCTTGTCAAGTTAGTTGTGTCAAAAGTCATAATAAGACCATGCTTTTGTAAGTTTAAATAATTGTTTCTTAAAAGACATTGAAATAACATTTTGCGACAATGAATTTTCGCTTCAGTTGTGTTCAAATAATTTTCTAACCTAGCTTCTGTCAGAATTTTCAAGTAAATTTCCTATTCCTAAACATTCTGATCGTAAATCTACACATGCCAATGCATCATAGAAATTGACATTATTTTTCCTAATGAAACATAGACGTACCGAGAAATTGTTTGCTTTCATGAAGATGCTCGAGAATCTGTTCTTCGATCAACAGAAACCTCAACTGCACTTTCCTGAGCTGCTTTAATTGTCAAGGGCAAATCCACAAGTGTGGTTGGAGGGGCAAAATACATATGCAGTGACATCATGCATACAATAATTCCCAAAAAGAGCTGCAGATTAAACGATGAACGCTTGATTCATCAGGATGAGATAACCAATGCATAAGCTCAAGCCATTTATAATAACTTGGAGTGAAATTTGCCTTAACATCATTTATCACGAGGACTTGGATACGTATCGTCTATAAGACCTTGGGAAAGGTTAAATGTCATAATGAGAAAGATTAATTGCATCAATGATGACGAGAGGAAGATATGACATTACACAGGAAAAAATAAAATAAAATAAAATTGGGATTTGATCCTATGCATTTTATTATATAATGTAGGAAAACATATGGGTGGGCAGTGAAAAATGATCTAATCAAGATTTAAGTGAAAGTACTCAGAGCTTTATAATATGTGCAAGAAGTGAAGATTCTAAGAAGGTTACCTGCACTGTTGGCTTGAAATCGAAAAGGAACACAGATAATACCATTGTCAGTAACATTGCCATGGATGTGGAGTATACCTGTAAAAATGAAAAAGGTATCATACTTCAATACATTTTGCATTAAAATGATACATGTGAAGAAGAATGTCTAAAAGAAGTAAGCAGTCATAAACATAATCAGTAAACTTGTAAGGATTGATTTCAGAAGAAGTCCAAAAAGGTATTGAAATAACGTGACAAAACCAGGTAATTAACCACATAATAGCATGTTAAATTTGAAACAACTCAAAAAAGGTGAACTACTTCTACAAATAAAGAATGAAGTAAGAGATACCTTTACAATGTTGTCTGCATATTTCATTAACCAAGATACTAAAAGCCCTGTTGACCCCAGATTTAACACTACCATCCAAGTAGTGATACTGTATCCATAGAAAAGGCGTTGCCACCATGGTCCTTTCTCAAACCCACTTCTAAAATCATCCAAGACAAGCCGTGCAAGGTTGAATATAGCACCAAATCTGAAAGTAAGAATGTGTTACTCTGCATCAACAGTCCAATATCATTTACAGGGTTCTAATGCAAGTAAACTGTTTTAGTCTCACAACTGATACATTTTGATGCCAATAGAAGCGGTTTTACATTTTAGATTTTTTTTTTGCTCCACATATGTTCATCCCAAAGTCGAGTATTTAATGACTTCTGCAGTTAAAAAAGCAACTGTTGCTTATAGAAACTACTTTGCAGAGATCTCTAGAGTAAACTATGATGACGCCGTTTTGTAAAGAAGGTGTTCATTAAGAACCCCAAAGCTTATTCTTCGAGTGGCATTTGTCAAGCCTTAGGCCTTGACTTTCCAAGGAACACATCTCAAGGTCTGATTGAAGTTTGCCCTCTATAGTATCATTATTTCTGGAATTTTTTTAAACCAACAATGTGGGCATGGTTCCCATAACCTGCAACATTTTGAGGGTTTCTTTAGGCTGTTTTAAACACAGCTTAACTCCAAAACTAGGAAAAAAAAAAGGAGGGAAGGAATTGAATAATAGAGAAGACAATAAATGAATAGCTAGGACTGCCGTAGCCTCCTACAACAACTGCTGTTGCAATTTTTGGCAACAGCCGGGCTGATGTGATTGACGTCTAAGATATTACTAAATTTAGAGTGCCCAAACCATCATGATTTTCATTGGTCTAAAGATGTTATCCTAAGTCTTTCCTAGGATCGGTATTTAACATGATTATGGAATGTCTATCTAAAAATTTTGCTGAAAAAGTTGGAACAGCCATTAGGCAACAAAAACAGTGGTTGATATTATGATGAATCAATTTTTTTTTGTCTTTTATATTTCTCTCTATGTAGGCTTTCTTTTCTTATAAAGTTAAAGCAAGCTGTATTGTAATGTAGTCGATCAGTTGTTTCATTTGTTTTAGCCTTTTAGTTCTAGTTGTGGATTAGTAGTCTTGATATATAGTTAATACTTTGCTAATTTACTATTTGTTACATTGCTAATGCATTTTATGGTTTTAATTACAATTGAGACTTTTAATTTTATTCACATATTTATTATGTTACTTTTTGATGATTTATGGTTTATTACTTTATTATGAGTGTCATTCTGTATTTTTTATGATTTTTAATCCTTTTACAGGTTTACATTGAGACATGCCTTAAAACAGGTTTAGAATTCTCAAGCACGGATTTTGAGTGTCCAAAACAGCATAGCAACTTGATGGTGCTTGATCAGAGAAAAAAACTCACGTATATAATTGAACATTCTGCCAGTATAAGCTATCGTCGTTCTTCTTCATCAAGAATTCAGTATAAACACCTGCGAGGGCTGAAAGACATGCAGACAATATGCCCAACATGTATCCCTGAATTGGTGACGAAAAGAGCGAGTTGCAAAATGATTCTCCACAGCCTTTCACCTATGCCAACATAAGATAGAAGTGCTTAAAGCTATGAACATTGCCATGGTGATTTATGCACAGAAAATAAAGTTTTCAATTGACAAGCCACCCATCATAAATGAGAAACATTATCCTACATGTCAAAGTTCGAAATTGACAACTTGTTACGAGGTGCATAACTGCATATAACTAAATCCATAACTAACCCATAATATGATTATAACTGGTCTGCAATTTACTAATAACATATTTAGAAAGCCATACATCCTGGTATAATAAAACAATGGCAATCACTTTAGTCGTCTCACTTCTGCAAGCCAGTAGCAATTAAAGTTGCAACCATAATGATGGCAAATTGGACAACTTAATTAATTGGATCAAGATAGGAAATTTTCTCTTTTTAAGTTTCGTAGATTTCCACTTTTAAAAGAGATTTTAAGCATTAGTAGGACAAGGGGTTTTCAATTACAAAGGCTATTGAATTTTTTTAATATATTTATAAACTATTGATTATTAAATACAAAGATGATTGATATTTCTAATTCTCCTCTCTTCCCCCTCCATTCTTCTCTTTCTTCACTATATTCTTGTGTTCTACATAGAGTGATGCATCACTTAGCCCCTATTTGGCCCCCATTTTCATTTTATCCCTAAACTCATTTACAACCACACATTTTCCCAATAAAATAATTTGCGCCATTGACCCATAAATTTTCCCAAAATTTTTAACCACACATTCTCATAAATAATCACTTTTCACAAATTTATTATCAAAAAATATCTACCAAACACACGATTTTATAAGGGGTTTCAGATTAACACTTTAGTGTCATAGGTAGTCATTCCCAATTAAAAGTCGTGTGTTACATAGTTACAAATACAGCATGAGAACAAAAGAGAGTGGTAGAAACGATCCAAGAAGCACCTGGCTCGTTGTGGTTCCAACAGCCAATAGAACAATAGCCATCCACTGCAAATTAGAGAGCTTCCTTTTCAAAAACAGCCTAAACAAGAATACAAGTATATCTCACTTAGATATGAAGATTGAACAATAGTTATAATTTGAACAAGAAAAGTTCAAGTTTAAAAAGAATGAACTGCGGAACCAGATGAATGATTGAGAAGAAAAATGCTCAGCCTGAATAATATTGCAGTTGTAACAATCTTCAAGTTTCCCATAATCTGATACGTAGATGTATCTACATATGTCAATGTAGCAAACTGAACATTGTTATGAATGAGATATATGGTTGATGGAATTGGGTACAAACGAACACTCTTCCATTCCGTGGTCATTTTAGGAGGAGGTGATCTCTTGCACTCTCTCCATAATAGAGTAGCAGATACAATAAGCTGCATTCAATGGAACTCATCAACACTAAATCCGTCCCAATAATCTCTGTACCAACAAAACTTATGGAGCCAAAGTTCTGTTTTCAAATTGAAAGATTCACTCATTGCCGAAAATAAACATAAATCATGATCATATTTCCGCAAGAATGGAACTTTAAATCCAAGTTTCAATCTAAGAATTATTCCCAATGAGAATACATTCCATTCCCTTCTACAATACAGTAATATCTACTAAATGCAAAACCTAAACAATGCAATCAATAAATGAAAATAATTAAACAGAATAAATAGATTAACCTTAAAAACTTCAGAAAGAAAAGGCACAGTGGCATAGTCATATTTGTATCCCCCATTACTCTGTGATAATGTTGTCAATATTCCCTGCAACAAAACAGCAAATTCAAAACTCATTTACTCCCAAGATCACACGCAGACACACAAACAGAAACCCACATTTATACAGATCAGATTCGCATAAAAACTAATAATCAACTAAAAAGAAAAGGACCTGAGAGCTCGTAAGAATTGTGAGCAGCGAAGCGATGACGTACCACTGCATCTTGTCCTTCCTTGCTCTCACTTCTACCGTAAAAATCACAGCATGGCAGTTTCTTGATCTTCAGCGATTTTCGATTGTGCCCTAATATTTTGGTTATTCGATTTACACCCCAATTCTTTTGGGTATTTACTATTTAGTAATGGATTAAAAACTCTGTGGTCATCTAACTTTCAAAATGTGTCATTTCAGTCATTAAACTTTTTTATAAGATATACGAAGTTATTTAAACATCGTCACTAACTAATTATTCATTAGTCGATTTAGCTATTATAATATGTTCAGCACGGTTCGAAATGCATTACTTAAATGTATTAAACTTACAAAAAATTTCATATTAGTGATATGAACGATGACTTGCATATCAAATCGAAATAACATAATTAATCTATCAAATCAATACTCACCTAGAACAATTATGAGTCAAAATATTTAATTGAGTGCGGTAAATTCAAAATCGTCTAACCTATTAATGGCATATCGTCTAGTGTGTTAGTCAAATAAATAACACTATTAATGCTTTGTTCAGTAATGCTTAAAAGTTGATTTTTAAAAAAGTAAATAAGCAAGCGTCACAATTATTACATAGGACTAGCAATTTGTTTATTTGAATTTGAAGCCACAAAAAATAGTGAATCCCGATACTTATAAACACACCCAACCATGTTCTTAGACACTTCAACAAAACTATTACTAATGGACATTTGAGGAGTGACTAAAGTGGAACGCTTCACTCCCAAAGATGATAGAATCAATAGAACTTCAATAAGTATGCTAATTATAAAGTCTTTGAAAAGATTAAAACTGCTAACCCAACAATAAAAAATCCTTAAACAAGAGATCTTGTATTGACTTTTCAACGAGTGATTCATATACTCGTATTTTTCTTTCGTCGACAATTCAACAAAATTTCTAATAGTAGTCCTAGACAGGTACTTGATTGTGCTGTCAGTGTTTACTCCAAATACTTCAGCAACATTGAGTCGAAGATCGTACAAGCTTCCCAGAATGGGAAGTTTTGACTTGATGCTTTAGACCACGAATTCCACTTGAGATGTTCGTCTGAAAAATTGTTTATTTGGAGAGCGCTTTTCTAAAGAAATTTTTTTCTGTTACTTTCTAAGAACTGATGCATAAGCGTATGGGAGCTGCACGGCTGCAGATCAAGTGAAGACATTACTACTGCACAAAAAAGGTAAAAGACGTTACTGTGGTCATGAAGAACACAACTCCGCAGTGCGACTTCACTATGGAGTAGACAAGACCCAGAGGCTTTAATTTAAACATAAACAGCAGGAGAGGAGATAGTTTTCTTTATGCCCTCGACTAAACATCAAGAGATGGCATGTACTTCGTACTAAAATAATCACTTACAAGGGGTCGAGGAATAAGTTTTGAGGAAGGCATGGAGGTTTATGAATCATCTTATCCGTAGATTCAGCAAAACCCGATGACTCCCAATGGCTGATAAGAACTGTGTGATCATACCCAGTAGAGAAATACAGAAGAAAGAAACATCCCGAGTGGAATATGACTAATTCCACTTAAAACAAGAGTTCAGAGGCTAACATAAAGAAGAATTTGACTTTCCACCGGCTTCCCAGACCCAGAATAGTCTTTTCAACTATGCCATGAATACTTCAAAATGTCTAAGATACAACTAATAGATGAAGATGCAGCCAGTAAATATTATACAGGAGTAAAATAATGACATGTTTGGTACTCATGATTGGACTGGACGGACAATGAAAAAGAGTTCAAACATTGTTTCCTTAACATTACCGAATACTTTCCAGTACACTACCAAATAATCCATTAATGTCCATCCATATCAGATTGGAAAGCCCCAAGTGATCAATTTACGTGGATAACACGATCTAGACTATTAGAACTCGTCCTGCATTGGCATATGACTTCCCAAACCAGGATGTCAGCTTTGACCACCTATCCGCTCATCATCAATTAATATCGATATGCATAATTTATAGGGTACAATGATTTATGGAAAGCCCCAAGTGACCATTTTACGTGGATAACATGATCTAGACTATTAGAACTCGTCTTGCATTGGCACATGACTTCCCAAACCAGTATGTCAACTTTGACCATCTATCCTCTCATCATCAATTAATATTGATATGCATAATTTATAGGGTACAATAATTTATGGACACAGTAAATTGCAGTTGGAATGCATACCTAAACCCCGTATATTTCTTGTATGGTAATTTTCATGACAAAAAGCTCTTCTTGCCACTTCTAACATCTTATTGGCATAAATGTTTCAGCTTCTTAAAAACCTTATCGGGCATTACTAAAGCTGTTAAAGAACTATGAAATCCATTGATGAATTATTATAACCGTGTCTCGGCCAATCTTGTGGTGTATTCAGCATTGCTGGCCTTTGAATTGCGACAGACGATCATTTCTCGGTTGCAACCAATCCTTGATGATTCTACTTGACTCAAGTCCACCAATAGAGAGGCAATACTAAAGAAACATCTAACAAAATGAATCTTATTTATGAATGTCAAGGATATTGAATAAGATNGGTTGTTGCGGTGGGCTTGGCTGGACGGTGGAGGTGGTGATGGTTTGTAGACTGCTTGATTGGCTGGAGGCTGGAGGTGATTAAGCTTTGTAGATTGCTGTGGCTTTGGAGAGATTACTGAAGGTGATAGATTAACCCTGTTCATGTTTCAAATCTTGTGAGCATTTTGGAGACTCAAGGTGAAAGCAAAGAGGTTGAGGATGAAGTTGCCACGGAATGGGGATGAGCAGTTTACTCACGCATACGCTTGGCTCAGGATGAAGTTGCCACGAAATGGGAAGAAAACATCGCAACGATACAATTTATTTATTGGAACTGTAGAATAATTGTTCTGTACTTTATGACAAAAACTAACTAGTGTTTTGTTATGACGAACAGAATGAATGAATTTCCTTGTATTTTTTCCTTGTATGAACTGTAGGATAATTTCGTTATATTTTTTTATGACGAATAGAATGAATTTGCTCATTTATGGATATGTTTGTGTCAATTTATGGACTTCCACTTGAACATGGAAAAGCATTAAATGAGAATCAACTTCATTAATTTCACCAAAAAATATACAGCCGAATGAGCTGCAGTCAGTACTTCTCAGTTAAAGTGCTTACAAAAATATACAGCCACATTTGTGTGGCGATAAGTGACCCTTAAATCATAATCACCCACGTGGAACACTTGAGTTCACTACTGACAAAATATATACAATAGGCGTCACTAGATTCTGTAGACACCTAAACCAAAATCACCCACGTGGAACTTGTTAGTTCGATATGGTCGCAAAAAATATACAACCGAACGACACTGGATTCGTTAGACCCCAAAATCAAAATCAGTCACGCTTTCCAGTAAATTGTTCTTGGAACTCCTTGAACTTCGCGATTGTGTACAATGATTGAATTTGCTTCTCCATTTCGTACCTTGTCGCACATGGAACCATATGTGAAAATGATTTGAAGTCGGCTTGAATCTCCTTTTCAACTTTGCTTCTCAACGCACGCTCATATTGCTCTACAAATTGCTTCAAAGATGTTTTTGAATTGACATAACCATCGAAAAATGCATTAATACCTTCACTTCGTTGTGTGGTTGACATACCCGCCCAGAATGATGTTTTCAAAAAACATGGCACCCAACGACTTCTTTCATTGTGTAAACCAATCAACCAACTATGTTCCAGCAATTCGTAATCTACGAGCATAGTATGCCAACCTTGGTCGAATTCATCGCAACTTTGTACATCGTACACCAACCTATGTACATTTGCAAGAATAGAAG